CATTAGCAGAAAATAGTTGCTTGAGGCAATGCTCTCAGGCTGGCGACAGCCACAGGGAAAGACACTGCCCTGAGTCCTCTGGATAAGGAAGCCTGGAAGCAGATGAGACGGGTCGCTGGGACCTGCACTGTAAGGGAAGGACTTCAGAAAGAATGGACATGACTGCTGCCTCTTAGGGTATTTTTAAAATATCCTAACATTACCCTATGTATTTGGGAAAATCTTGCTTTCCAATTTCACCTCTTCTGCCAGTTGGTTAGAAATTAATGAACTAATTAGAGCTGTGTAAACAGTTCATTTCCTCAGGTTGTCTCATGCAGAGAAGCTCATTGGAACCCAAACACGGGCTACTTTACCACCTCCATTAGTCCACATAGGGTTTAGCAGAGAATTTCATCAGCTGGATATTCCAAGCAGAAATATTTTCGAAAGAGGAGCTGGCTGGAAAGGACAACAGTCAGTCACAACAATTAAGAGCAATAGCAGCTATCACTTATGTGGCACTTTATTTATGTCAGGTAACATTCTGAACCCTTTTACATCTACTGACCTTAATCCTCTCCACACATGCATAACATATATTCTATTAAGATCCCTGCTTTAGAGATGAAAAAAATGAAAACACAAAGGCACAGAAAGATTAACCAGCTGGCACAAAGTCCTTCAGCTAGTGCATCTTGGCGTGTGGATGAGGGGAGGCAAGATAGATGCATTGAAGGTCAGGAGGGGTGATCTGAAGAGTCAAAGCTCCTCTTGTGCAAATAGAGGTACTCCAGGACCCATGAGGGGAGAGGTAGAAATGAGACCTCTCCAAACTAGCAGAAGGGCTAACAGAAGAACAAATGACTGATAAGCCTGGGAAGGCCGGAAGTTAATGGTGAAGGAAAGAGGAGGGTGGGAAGCTGATGGTGGCATCAGGCCAAATGACTTTAGATAGGGTCTCCTGGGTTTCAGGGACCCAAGGCAGGCTGTCGAGCAGGAAGTGACGTGATGCAGAAAATATTTGTAGAGGACAGGTCCTAGCAGCTGGAGTGGCTGAAATGTGCATGGCTTCTGCTGGCCAGCTGTTGTTGTAATCCAGGTGTGAGGTGATGAGGGCCAGCTGGGGCAAGAGAGAGGTCATGGAGAGGAAAGGGAAGAACACAGGCAGAAAAACACTGAGGGGCAGTAGTTCTTCAGTCTGCTCACATCAAGTCTGCTGTAAAGTTTAAAACGTAAATGCCAGGCCTGGGCCCAGACTACAGAAGGGTTAGAGTTCAAGAACCAAAAACTAACATATCACTGGTGACATTGGAGCACAGCGGGTAAATTTGCAGATGATTCTAGTTGAAAATCAGCGGCTGGCAAAGTGAGTCATCAAATCGAGGATGGTGTGAACTTTTTTGTTACACACACACACACACACACACACACAGAGAGAGAGAGAGAGAGAGATATGGATATACATTGTCCAGATATAACCATTTTAATCAATTTCAGGGGTACAGCCAGTGGCATTAAGCATATTCACACTGTTCTGCAACAGTAGCCACCATCCCTCGCCATCATCTCAAATGGCACTTGGTACCTGTGAATCACCTACTCAAGCCACTGGTGCCCTGAAAATGCTGAGTCTGGAGGACTCATAGAAGCACTGAAAGAAATATGTGTAGGAAAAGACTGGAGCCTTTCAAAGGGATGATGAATTGCATTTTTGATTTCTGTCTGAGCTAAGCTCATTTATATATGAAAATATTCCACAAACAGCTATGGGAAAAGAAATGCAAATCAAAGGCCCTACCACAACTTGTGCAGGTCTGCATGGCATGGCTAGGGAGTGGAAGTGACAGAGAGTGGATGCGGGCCCCAGAGAAGTGGCTGTGGAGCATGAAGGGCAGACCAGGAGAAAAGCAGAGAATAGGCAGGCAAGGAAGACAGCTAGGAAAGCCCTGAGGGGATGCTGAGCCTTGCTGCTTCCTCTGCCTTTGTCTCAAGGTGAATAGTTTTGTTTTGTTTTTTATATTTCCTCTTCAGAGTTCTTACCACAAGTCCTGTCACCTTATAAAATTAAACTAGTCTCTAAATGTCACTTTGGGGAAGGCTGAAGCAGCTGAAATATTCTAGGAAAATGAAGCCCAGAGTACTGGGTTGTAGGCCTTGTACTGACAAGCAAGCTGTATGGCTGTGTGCACCTCAGTGGCATGTCTCAACCTCAGTTTACCATGTAGCAAAACAATATGGCTGCATAGGATCATTTCTAAGCCAATTGCTGAGTAAAGTCCCCTGGCCAACAAGGGGCCTTTGACTGTGAAACTTGTCCTTTACCTCTTTCATCCAGGCCTCAGTTTCCCTCCCAACTCCCAATTCTCTTCACCCTCATATCTAGTTCTTCTCTAGTTGCCCAGTTAAGCGGGGGAAGGGAGCAGAGCTTCTGGTTAGCTCAGTTGTTTAAACTCCTGCTTATGCAAACGCAGTCAGGTGCAGGATACTGCAAGATACCCCAGCTTCACAGGCCTTACCAGATCTGCCCTTCAGGCAGCCTGAGCCAGCCAAGAAAAAAAAATAGCTCAGCAGATTAAAGCGCCTGCTTAGGCAGAGGCAGGGGCCTGGACTGAAGTTTGATCCCTTGGCCTGCAGTGCTGGCCTCATCCCCGGGGCACGCCGAGATGGAGACTGAGACTGGGTG